ACGTCGTGGTCAGACGGGAATGGAAAAGGATTCGTGCATTCACAAAAACCCCCAAAACTACACAATGTGTGGGCAAAAAAAAGACAGTCAAGAAGACTGTTGTAGGCTGCAAATCATCCTGTCAAGCATAATCAAGTATAGTGGGAAAATAAGTAGGGAGACAGGAGGAGGACATCAAAATTCAGTGAACCCTTCAGTATTGTCTTACAGCTATCAATGGAGCGATCGCCTTACCCCAATCGATGTTATCGTAAACCTCACAGGGCTGCTGGATGAAGTTGTATCGTCCACTAAAGTAGGAGACATAGGCTCCGTATACAGTAATGATGCAGTAGTAGACGGCTCGAAAGATACCCTCTGGGGCCTTTTCAGCGTCTTTGGGTCGAAAGTCTGCCCAATTTACAAGTCTCTAAAAGGAGAAACGAGGCTAAATTATGGCTACTGAAAATATTCATGGTAAATCCCCTTAGCACAGTTGTTTGGGTGATCATTGCCACAACTTCGTTGTCGTAGCCTCCGAAAACATTGACTGGCAAGAGGGCGGGATTGCACTCTTATTACAATGTAAAATTTTGCCATTAGAATTGTCTGTCTGCACTGGTCTTGAAATCAACCAATCAATAAGCAGGCTTAGGGAACCGGAAGGTTCAAATTACCCAATCACATATCTCCAACATTTCACTTCTCTTTATTCCTTGGGGAAATGCAAAGAAGCAATGGAGTGAAGCAGCTCTCAGAGCCTAGCATCAGTCTGTCAATTTAGGAAATTTATGGCCTGTAGATCATGACCTAATCTGAGCTCCAACGCTTTGCCACACTGACCCAGTTGTAGACGTCGCGTAGGCGCCTGAAGTCTCACAATCCCTCACTCTTCACGTCTAAACAGAACAAATTAATTGCACCGCTAGCATACAACTAATATGGACACACCAATGTTCTCATCTGACGCACGTTTTCTCTCGAATTTGAAGCAAAATAAGTACCTCTCGATGTCCATTCAACCCTGTTCCTGCTTAGTAATAATTTGCCTAATATTATACATTATTTCACAAGATAGGAAAGCCTAATATTTGTAAAATTCTGAAATATTCGCTAACAATTACTCACTAGGTGTAAACGAGCGGTAAAATGGTTGTATCACAGATTTCATTGCAACACAATTTCCCTGTGTTCTGC